CGTGCAATCCGGAGGTCACCAGTTCGTTCTCCCTGCACACCGGTTGCAACAATGGTGACGTTTCTTAAATCCTCCCCCAACCGCTTCTGTCCAGCCAGTAGCATAAATCGGTGCACCACAGTTAGTCGACGAACAGGTCACGTGTGTTGGGGTGAAGTGTGGGGACTTTCACCTCCACGTGGAACATGAGGCCAAATACCATCTTGTAGAAGCTGTTCCACCACTCGTGGTGTTAGCAAGACATTGCATTGCTGCACCTTTACCTTTGATGACGGCACACGGAACCTGCTACATCTCTCTCCTGCAGTTTGTATATTGTCAACGTGAGGCTAATTTTGGTATATTGCAACGTGAGGCTAATTTTGAAAGGTTGGAGTCACTCCATTATGTAGGCTTGTTAACATATTTTTACTTTCATGACCAGTAACTAAATTGTAAAAACTGGTAGCCTCCCCCCCCTCCCAATTACTGGTTTGCCGCGCATAAGACAATGTCGAACAATAAATATAAATGTACAACCTGGTGTTTTGTGTCCATCATCTTATACGTGGTGTAATGGTGATCACACTTAACTGAAATCCTGGTAGTAGTTCGATTCAGTCTGTCGGCGAGGAAGTTGAACGAATGGAGAAAGTTTCTTAAATGCTCTTTTCATTTCATTTATTAGGTATAGCCCTGTGAGCAATTCGGCTCTTGAATCGGGTGCAACCGCAACAAACAAAAAAACTAAATCATGAACATGAAAACATCTTAAAGTGACTTCGTGACTAATTGCAAACAGAAAATCCAAGAAAAGACAGCAAAATATTGCAGAAAAAGCACCCTACACCAACGCTGTGTGCAAAAATCCCAGTGGGATGCAAGTCAAACAACAACAATCACAAGACAACTTAGATTAAGGCCATGAGTCTAACTCTGTACTACAACAAACAAACATGGCCAAACCGAAAAACTTTTCAAAAATCACCAAAATAAAGCCATAAAAGCAATGAAACAGTGATCATAGGAACTGTGACCGAATTTTCACAATAAACGACGTAAACAACATGTACTACCAAACTCTGCAGCCATAGCTGGCTGTATGAGTCACTCCACAACAGCAGGAGCATCAGTCAGAGTGTCAACATTTTTCAATGCACCTTTAGGATCAGCACACTAAATCAAAACACAGATCATACTTTGCATCGATCATCCGGAGCGAAACATTGTATTTTAGGCCACTGAATTGCCTCTGTCCACCCAACAGTTTCATGGGACCTCCATAGTTAGTCGATCAGCTGGTTTCATGTGGTGGGGTAAAGAGTGGGTACGCCCACCTCTTCCAACACGTTTGGCCAACATGAGTAGAACAGATACCCTTGAGGGTTCCCTCTCGTGGAGGCACTTCCACCAACAGTAGCATGAGCACGCAATTACAAGGCTGCACCTTAAATGTTGTCTTAGCTGAGAAACAAGTGCAACACACGGGAACTTAATGTGGCTGCCGTAGGCGTCGGTGTGGCTCGTGGTGGCCAATCAGTCGCACGTGCTGTGCAGTTTGTACTTCGGCACGTGCTGTGCAGTGCGTTCATTCGCGACATTCAACGGGATACGATTTATGCTTCCTGACTTTTGGAACCCGTAATCGATAATAGCAAGGGTTACCGGCTTACTGGTTGTCGTTTAACCCTAGCATTAGCCACATGCATTGATGAACAAGATGTTCAACTTGGCTGCTCTCGGCTCACCCCTCAAGGCTGATCAAGAGTAGCAGGATAGGATCTGCTGCCCATTCCAACAGGGTCACGGGTACCAGTCGGCGTTGGGATTTATTTTCTATGCTACGCTGTAGTGTCCGTGATGCGTGTTGGATATACATGGCAACTGAGATCCACATTTCCCCCCATACCCCTCCCTCATCTTTATGTTCACAGCTTGTTGTAGTTCCTTTAGAACTGCTTTTTGTGTTAAGTTTGTTGGCCTTCCCCCGCACCTCCAATTAACACGGTTGGCTACGTACGGTGCGAAAGAAGTTGAACATATATATACTTTCCTGAAAAGACTCAGACTCGTTGATCTTGTTATTATTTTAATTGTCATTTAATTATTGGATTATTGCAAACATATTAAAACACCAGGCTTTGATTACCGAATAACCCAAAAATATAATAAATTAACCTTGCCCGCTTTCCAAAATCACGCAATTACAAATGTAAAAAGTACCTTTTAAAATATCCTGAGAACCTCATTTCATATTTGCACTTAGTACCCAATAAATATCTCCATATGAAGATTCGTAAGCATAGGTTTGAAAAGGAAAATGCTTTAAATTCTGGTCGCCACGTTTTTCAGAGATAAAAAATAAAATGCTGGGTTTTGTATTTCTCAGGTTACGAGCAGACACAACTCTAGTTCTGCATTTGTGCTTGTTAGTCCTTCTAGAACATCATCAGAATGTGCATTTTTTTAACTTAGGCCAATGATAAAAAAAGTGTCTTCAGTGAAAACTATTCGGTTACATTTAGCGTAATGGAGTAAAACGAGAGAACAAATTCTTTAAACCACACAGAACGCAAAACAAACCATAATCAACAGTAAACAATTTCCTTATCACAAATGTTATTCTAATTGTGCTGTCGGCGTCATGTCATGAGGTGAAGAATCCATTACGAACTTGCACAGCAGTGCATCACCCCGTGTTAGTGAACGGGCTGTGGGAAGTGACATCACAGAACTGATTAGTTTTTTACCCTTCTATCTGGCAACAAAACTGACACCAACTGTCCTTGAAGTTGATTAGTCCACACCCGAGACAGCTTTCCTTAAAGCCTCGTCTCATATGGGTTGGACCAGATGACGCCAAAAGGCGTGGTCCAACCCATATGAGACTAGGCTCTAAGGAAAGCTGTCTCGCGTGTGGACCAATCAACTTCAAGGTCAGTGCACATTATCAGAGTTGTGTTTTTTGTTTGCATTATGACTGCAGGTATTGTGGTCTATGCAAACATGACTCCTTGTAAAAAGGTGTCAGTTTTGTTGCCAGATAGAAGGGTAAAAAAACTATTATCATATTTTTACTGGCAAATGAGGTTCCAATGGTGTAAATCACAGAACTGCTTGTGAGATGACCGCAAGCGAAATGTATATATCCACACATTAAAGGACACTTTCCCACAAGCCCATCTACACATACATGTCAATGACAGACCGATATTGTTCCACATATCACAAGTTTGATGAAGAAGGACCATTGCCCTAAAGGTCACTTTTTTCATTTTAAGCAGTGTTGTTGACCAACCATTAAATACTTTTTAAAAATTCTCAGATCTGTAACTTAATATGAAATCCATATTCAACACAATTATTTTTCGTAACATTTATCGAGTCAGATTGCAACCCAAACAGTTACAACGTATCAAATCGGGTGAATTGTTCAATGCCCATGTGTTTAGTGTCAATGTTATTTGTAAACATGAATTTATTTATTAAAATACGCCATTTTGCTATTTTAAGAGACGCATTTAATGCAACAATCCATTCTCAGCAGGAGCCGATTTCGTCGCTCCATCTCCGTTGTGGGCGTCCTACCGGTCGTGTTCCCTCCCTCTGACCACCACTCCCACATTGGTCTTGATCACCGCAATCATCCCTTCTCGCGACGTGTCCTGCCCAAGTCCACTAACCTGCGCTGCCTGAGCGCACACCTGCAAGGCACTTCGCAGTCGACGCAGGTAAGTTATTTAAGATGGAGACCGAGGTCAAAATGATGAAGTGGCGAAAAAGAGCAGGGTGGAGTGCTTTTGAAAAACTAAACCTAATAATAAGAAACACACCAATGTGCTTAAATAATACATTTGTAATCAGTGCAGAGTTGTATATATAAAGGTGCAGCCCTGCAATTGCTTGATCACACCACTGCTGGTTGAAGGGCATAGAGACAGCTCTAGAGAACCCCTCTATAAAGCATTTGGCATTCATTTCCACACTGGCTAGACATTGGAAGATGCGGCTATACCAGAGTAATTATATAATCGAAGTTGTTAGTTGCTTTCTAATACATGTGTCAACACCGTCTCAGTGTCTGACATTCATACACTAACTTCATACAAATGGACTCAGTCGCAAGCACGCTGGCCCTCATATGTATCCACGGATGTCTCTACAGTTGTAATGTGGGGAGTCAGGCTAATGAGTCTGCATTGTAGTTGCCCTTCATTATGGTTCGTATTCTGTGCAATGCACCATGTCTTGTTGTGGAAGCCGCTTTAATCAATCACTGTGATGAGGGGTCGCTGGATTCTGGTCAGCATGCGCCCCGTGCACCGGTTTGCAGGGGAAAGGCCGCTCTGAGCGGAGCTATCAAACGGCACGTGACGTCGTAGCATTAATCCCTTAATAACCCTAAGATGTTTAATTTGTTAACTATCCCTCTATAATTGCATCACTCAGGGATTTTTTTCTGAAAGAGATACTGAATATCAGTTATCTATAACCTGGCTCAAGGACATTGACGTTATACAACAATCGGTAATTGTTGACTGAATGGCAATGTTCCGTTTGTTAACAAAACACAGAAAACTAACGAAGGAGGCTGTTACCCTGAATACAAACTTTTCTTAAAATCGTGACACACCGCCCAATATGGCGAGGCTCCCCACCCATGCTCATCGCCACATCGTACAAGGGTGATCACTTCGTGAAACAGAGGTCTGATTTTTCATTTGTGATGAGGTCAGTTGTTGACGTTGCTCATTGTTAAGTGCTTACGCCGAGGTGTTCACCAAGATTGTGATTAAATGAAGATATATTAATTCATGACGATAAAAAGAAAACGTTAAGGAGTTTCAGAAGTGAAACCACAAAGTAATATATATTGGGGTAACATGGCATATATATTTTGTAATTACTATTTAACAATGTCATGATGTGCCAGTATTGAACACTATTACTGTATTTAGAACACTTATAGAACGATTTATAATTCCCACAATTAGCAAATATATGGTTTGAAATTGCATTCCGTAAATCTATTTTACTGTTAATTAGCAGTCAATGGAGCAAAATATAGAGACGAAAGATTTTTGTAAATGGATCATGAGGTGATTGGTCCCTTCCAAGACGCTCTCTTCTGGCTGGACAGGTTATACAGTACCATGATCCCAGCTCGGCACAACGCAGCCAGAAGACGCTGCAACGTGATGCAATAAAAGTGATGAGCAGAGAAATAATAACACATCACTACACACCTGCTTTACGTGTCATGTGTACCAACCACAAACGTGTACGATGTTGCAACGTGATGTGAACTTTTTGAATGCGTTTCTCTCTAAAACACAGAGGAGTCCCAAGCGTCCATCGGTACAGACAATGTACCAGCCTCTCTCGCAAAACATTCCAGCTGGCAACGACTCTTCTTTGTTCACATCTCTGAACCAGTGGTGGATATTCCACATTTTCATGGTGGGAGTCAGTCTTCTCATAGCATGACCACTGTTGGCGTCCCTCAAATTCGTTTGAATGGGTAGAGTTGGCACTCTACTTTGAGTTCAACTTAATTTGCTCACAACCTTCTGATCATAAGTCGAGCACGTTAACCACAGCGTAACCTTCACATCAGCGTAATTGTCCATACATGGTTTACTAATTATTTGTCCTTATTTGTTGTTTCACTAGATTGTTCAATTGAAAAAAGCTTATTTTCACACCATATACAATTAGAAATGGATGGAAAGGATTGTGGATGTAAACGGGATAAGCACACACGTCTAGGGTGGAGAAGGGTAGATGATCACACACAGACACGTGCAGGGTGGAGTAGAGTAGATAAAGACACACATGTTGGGTGGAGCAGGGTTGATGAGCATGTATGTATTTATGTTGAACTTCTATCGCACCGTACAGAACCAGCTGCGCTAAGACGAAGATTCCCCCCTACCTCCACGAAAGCCTGAACAGACTGTAGGAGCAAGTGCTGCTCGCGACGAGCACCTATGAAGGCCGGCACGGCACAACAAGGAATGGGTGGCCAGAACCACGCCTGGCCGCCTTTTGTCTCCATCGTGGTGATGTTTACACACCACACCAGGTATTTATTGAGGCTGAGTTGACCTAGGGGAGGCCCAGGACAAGTTCAGATATTCATCACCGGTGTTGGCCATCAGCAGGACTCGAACTCGAGTCTTCGAGTTCGTAGCGCTGCGCGCTAACCGCTACGCTACCGCTCCCTACTATCAGCACACAGACACGCACACGTGTAGGGCGGAGCAGGGTATATTGCCGAGAGAAGCAAGAGTGCGGCACCCAGAGCTAAATTACCAGATGGAGAGGTACCCAAGAGCAGAACTTGCTCGTCAGGTGTGATCCATGCAACCGCTAAGAAAAGCACTAGAAATGTGGTAGTCTCAATGGCACTGGCTGACTTCTGGCAATCATGGTGTGTATTAAATACGACTAGAGCGAGTGTCGTTACTGCAGTCGTCATGTTATCCACACTGCATGCGTGTGTAGATGTGACTACAGTAATAACTCGATGTGTGAATATTCGATAAATTAAGTTTCAGTATAACGAGCTTTGGATTTATTACCATTATATTTATGGTAAAAAATAAAGTTAAAATATAAATGCACGGACAAGAACACAGAAATAACACAATTATATATCTACTGTACGATATAAATAAGACAAAGTATAATAAGATATGTTTCTTCAGCGTTCCGCATCACGATCGGTCATAGAATGTTTGTTTACATTTGTCTCGGCCAATCAGCGCGCAGCAACGGACCACGTGACGGAGGAGCTGTGGTGTTCGGTGGGCAATACAAACTTATGACTGCACGGAAGACTACACGGGGGAGTGTGAATATATTTTACAGTACAGTACACTGTGTTTTTAATTAATTATGTCAGTTCTTTTTTTTCATATTGTACAACATAAAATATTTTTCAATGTTAATTGTCTTTGTTTACACTATGGTGTGTTGCGAAGTGTTTACAGTATGAAATAGTAAGTTATGAAAGATGGGAACACATCCCCAGTTCCACTGTTATAAGTTATTCAATATACGAAGCTTCGCCATAAGAACGAAACTCCAGGAACGCATCGACTTTGTATATCGAGGTATTACTGTATATGAGACACGTGGATCTCCTGCAGGCTCAGCTGGTGCATGTTGAAGCTAAAGTAATAATAGATGTGCGACTGTACCTTTAGTGCATCAATTTCAGTTGCAGAAAGTCTTTCTCAGCTCCTGGAATTTTTTATTTCTGTCCTGCAGAAACAAAAGGTCAAGGTGTGCCCTTGTGTCAAGTAGTAGTAAGCAGTACACTTGTATTTAACGCCAGATGAGAGCTCATTGACACAAAGGGTATCACTTACATGAAAACGACATTCGTTCACAGGAATGTCTCGTTTAACAAGCTTTCTTTCTACAATAATCCGCTATAACAAGCAATTTTAATTTAGATTTTAAAAAAAATCCCAAAACAAGCAAAATTTTCACTTAACGAGCAGAGACCAATCGATCGATATGCATCCGCGGCGGCAGGAAGCACGCGGCTGCCGGCAGCTGTTTGACTACCAGATCTGCTTTGCTGCGTGCCCGCGTGTTTCGTCGTGTGGAGGAGGGGGGCTCGTGGTGGCACTGATTTGGGTCGGTGGGGGGAGGAGTTGGTGGGTGAGGGGAGTGGATGGGTTGGGGGAGGGGTGGGTGGGTATAAGAGTGGGTGGGTGGGGAGAAGAGTGGATGGGTGGCGGGAGGAGTGGGCAGGGGGAGGAGTGGGTGGATGGCGGGAGGAGTGGATAGGTGGATGGTGGAAGGACTGGGTGGGTAGGGGGAGGAGTTGGTGGGGGGCGGAGTAGGTGGGGGGAGGGGTGGGTGTTGGGAGGGGTGGGAGGAGGAGTGGGGGTGGGGGGAGGAGGAGTGGGTGGGTGGGGGGAGGAGGAGTGGGTGGGTGGGGGGAGGAGGAGTGGGTGGGTGGGGGGAGGAGGAGTGGGTGGGTGGGGGGAGGAGGAGTGGGTGGGTGGGGGGAGGAGGAGTGGGTGGGTGGGTGGGGGGAGGAGTGGGTGGGTGGGTGGGGGGAGGAGTGGGTGGGTGGGTGGGGGGAGGAGTGGGTGGGTGGGTGGGGGGAGGAGTGGGTGGGTGGGTGGGGGGAGGAGTGGGTGGGTGGGTGGGGGGAGGAGTGGGTGGGTGGGTGGGGGGAGGAGTGGGTGGGTGGGTGGGGGGAGGAGTGGGTGGGTGGGTGGGGGGAGGAGTGGGTGGGTGGGTGGGGGGAGGAGTGGGTGGGTGGGGGGAGGAGGAGTGGGTGGGTGGGGGGAGGGATGGGGGTGAGGTGAGGGGTGGGTGGCGCCACTAAATTGCAGTCACTGAGAGCAGGAAGTCGTGATCCATCTCGCATCCCCCGCATCGTGGCTATGAACCCAGCAACGCTGGTTCGATTCCTAGCCAAAGCTAACACCAGTGTCGATTGATATTTGAACCATCCAACAAGACAGTCACTGCATTACGCGCTTTCAGATGTGCTTCTGTGGCCGCCTGGAACGCTCTTCCTTACGATATTAGGAAGCAACTTTAAAATCGAGATTGAAAACTCATTTCTATAGAAATGTTATTCGTGTTTAGTTTGTTGTCCTTTCCCTGAAGCTGCGATTAGCGCGTTTGGCTACGCACGATGCGAACGCAGTTCAGCATGCACACAGTACATGCCAGTGGTCCACCCACTAACGTCTACCAATTAAACAACAAAAATGCCAGGCATCTGCAAGCGCCGTGATTCTCCATGTGTGGTACGTGTTACATTTGATCACTTTATTTTTTAATCATAATTTGTATTTCTCATACGAAAAAATGTGTTCAAGCGTGGAAATTTTGGGGGCTAAAACGTACCTTAGCGTTCCATAGAAACATGACATTAACTCGTCAAACGATTGTTTGACGAGTTAATTTCACTATTTTGCTCCTGAAGCGAGACGAGCCTGTACAGTATACTTCCTCACATGGCGTCAATTTTATAATCTAATAAGTAGTATTAAAAACAACTTTTTTAAAAACACGCTTTTATGAAATATACTAGTAATGGGAGAACTCCACGACTCCAGGAAGTGGCCCCGAGGCTTGCCATAACGTAAGGGGCCGTGGCCAATTACAGCTGTAAAGTAGGAGCCGACACCAGATTGCAGGGGTCTCGTCCTTTATTCCTTTCCTTCCATCCACACCTGTCCCCCAGCCGTCACAATATCGTTCCCGCCAAAGGCCCCTCCTTCCCGCCCGTTCTCTCCTTATATCTCCTCGATCACCCCTCCCACTAACCCATCTATTGGTGGGAATCCTTCCCCTGACACCCCTACATCACCCCCCCCCCCCCCCGGAGAAAAAATAACCGTCCTCGGTTCTGCCTCCCCCATGGACCATTTAAATCTCCCCATGCCTCCCACCACTAACAGTGACGACAGCCCTTACCCCCCCCACAACCATACAATGCAACATAACACAACAAAATCAATTGCGCGGCCTGCCCAGGTCTCCAGCCAGCATCCCGTAACAGCCCGGACATCCACAGGCAGCAGATGACCGTGGCGGCCCCCTCCTTCGAAGGCTCTCTCGTCGCGGTCCCTGGTTCGGTGGTGCCGGTGTCGCCTTGCCTGGCGCCGCTGTCTCTCCGGCCCCCGCTCGTGCCGCCGCTCCGTCAGGCCTCACATGGGGTGCTGTAGGTGACAAGGGAACACAGGGCACCGAACCCCCTGCCGGTCGGCGCGTGGTGGTCGGCGACCTTGGCCTGGGTAGGGATGATGATGATGTTGGCAGTGATGTTGGTGGTGATGTTGGTGAAGATGACGGTGGAGAGATGTATGGCTTAAGGCGGGTGGGGTGTACAAACCATCGTCGCTTACCCAGTTGGACCTGGACGCACTGCGGTCGGAGTGCTTTAATGACCTCGACCGGCCCTTTCCAGGGTCGGTGCAGCTTTGGTGAGAGGCCAACCGGCACCTGAGGACAGTGTAGCCATGCCTGGTCCCCGACTTTGAAGGGCTTGGCTGTCACTGTCCTCTCCCGTATCCGTACATTACTCTCTTGGCTCGTGGCCGATGCGGCCTCGGCTGCTTGGCGGGCCTCTCTCAAATAAATGAGGGAGGTCTTTAGTGCCTTCGGCCATGCGTCGGCTCTTGCGGGAATGTCCGTCAGCTGCACCTCAATAGGCGGAACGGGATCCCGTCCGTACATCAGGAAAAACGGCGAGAACCCCGTCGCCGCGTGTGGGGCCACCCTGTACGCCGCTAAGACAGATGGAATGTGGAGGTCCCAGTCGGAATGGTTTTCGTCCACCACTTGGGACAGCATGGCCGCTATGGTGCGGTTAAGCCGCTCTACCATCCCATCGGTCTGGGGATGATACGGAGATGTTCTGACCTTTTTAGTGCCCAGGATAGAGCAGACGTCCTTCAATAGCTGTGAGGAGAAATTCCTGCCCTGATCCGTGAGCAACCGCTCCGGTGCCCCCTTATCAAGGACATAGCCTCCCACGAAGGCATCGGCGATGGTCTGTGCCGTTTGGTCCGGGAGGGCCCACGCCATCGGCCACCTCGTGCAGTACTCGACTCCGACCAACAGGTATTTATTTCCCCGTGGCGTGACCAGCAGTGGTCCCAGGATGTCCAACGCAACCAATTCGTTGACCCTGGTCACCGTGATGGGCTGTAGGGGCGCCCGGCTTACCCGGGGTGGCGGCTTTCGCCGCGCACATTCGACGCAGGTAGCGACCCATCGATGCACGTCAGCGGTCATACCCGGCCAAAAGTACCGACTCTGTAATGTGTACAGTGTCTTCCGCCCCGCCAGGTGCAGCAGCTGGCGGCCGTGTACGTCCATAACCAATTGTTGACGCAGCGACTCCGGAACTACCAGGCATCGTCGGCGCCCTGTCGGGTCCCATCGCATGAGGAGGTCCTCCCATACGATGTACTCCTCCCCCCCTGCCTCTGCTGAGGCGCGTAGCGTTCGCAGTGGGGCTTCCTCCAGCTGTAGCCGTCGCCAATCGTCCAAGGTCAGCCCCAGGTCGTGGTCGGTCAGCTGGACCTCACCCTGTGCGTCCTCCGCCGTGCGTACGGGAGCGATGACTGTCCCCTCCGGCCTCGCCTCCTTGCAGCGTGCCCCGCCTGTGGTGCATGCACAAGGGCCCTGGGGCGCCAGTCGGGACAATGCGTCTGCGTTGGCATGTCTGGTCCCTTTGCGATGCACTACTTGGTACCTGTACTCCTGCAGGCGCTCTATCCATCTGGCCAGCTGCCCCGAAGGCTGGTCGATGCGGAGCGAATACTGCAAGGCCGCGTGGTCAGTGCGGACCGTAAATTTGCGACCATACAGGTAGGGTCGAAATTGCTGCACGAAGTGAACGACTGCCAGGAGTTCCCTACGTGTGACGCAGTAGCGCTGCTCCACTGATGAAAGCACGCGACTACCATAGGCGATAACCACCTCGCGACCCTGCTGGACTTGCGACAAAACACTGCCGATGCCCACATCGCTGGCGTCCGTGTCCAGGATAAAGGGGAGGCCAAAATCCGGAAAAGCCAATGGTGGTGCATCTGTCAGACGTGAGCGCAGCTGCTGGAATGCCTCTTCCTCCAGAGGGCCCCAATAAAACCTCTGGTTCTTCGCCGTCAACACGTGCAAGGGCTTGGCAATGGTTGCGAAGTTGGGTACGAACCGGCGGTAATAAGAAACGAAACCCACAAACCGGCGTACCTCTGGAACCGTTGTGGGAACAGCCCAGGCCCTCACGCAGGCCGTCTTTTCCGGGTCTGTAGCCACTCCAGACTCACTGACGACGTGGCCCAAGTAGCGTACCGACGACTGCATAAGGTGGCACTTCGACGGCTTGAGCTTCAAATTCGCGTTCCGGAACCGCAGGAATACCTGACGTAATCGGTCAATGTGTTCCTCGAATGATCGGCTGAAGACAATGACGTCATCCAGGTAGATGAGGCACGTTTCCCATTGGAGGCCTGCTAAGGCCAACTCCATTATGCGTTGGAACGTCGCCGGCGCAGTCTGGAGGCCCATAGGCAGGCAGTTGAACTCGAACAGGCCCTGTGGTGTCCGGAACGCTGTTTTAGGCCGGGAGTCCGCGTCTAGTGGGACCTGCCAGAACCCGGACAATAAATCCAGCGTACTGAAAAATTTTGCTCCCGCCAGTGCATCCAATGAGTCGTCAATACATGGTAGGGGATATGCGTCGGCCAGCGTGACGGCATTGAGGCGTCGGAAGTCCACAC